GGGTGGTGACTGGACTGGTGTTTCGCCTCAACAGCTACATGGAACTTCTCAGACGAATACCTAGTCGAGCACGCTACTCTCCGGAGCTTGGGGCTGGGCAGCTAGTCAGGGGCTGGGCTTCCAAGGGCCACGCATGTGATGCAGCATGATGCAACAATGTGTTTCCCAGAGCGAATCCAATTAGTCCGCAGGTGCCGTTCAGATGCCCTGACTTTGGTGGTATTCGATGAGGCTCAGTCATGCGAGTGATCCAACCCGGCCGACTGGTTTTCCATGGTTTTCCCCTGAATGAATGCGTCGGCCGCCCGAGCGGGTCAGGGATTGAAGATATTGAAGAAGTTAAACATACCAACTAGGGTGTCACCAATGACGATTCACTTGCTCTAAGAAGAGCAGATTTAGCAAGATGATGTGCATTTGGTATGTTTTTCCATTGGAAGCTTGGCCCTTTCAATATCAAGACATGTTCAATGTATACCTTTTGACCGATTGCTGCAGTCTCTTGACCGCCACCGGTCGTTTCGGTCGACAGCGACGTTTCCTCCGGTCGATTTCCGCCGAGGAAGGCATCCGACCCTTCGTGCCCCCGGAGTTCGAGGCGGCGGCGTGGTATGCGGCGAACCCCGACCTGGCGTCCCGGAGCGAGCCGTTGCAGTGGAAACTGGAAACTCCAAACTTCAAAAAAACCTGAAGTTGACATGATGTTTTGTAGGGCAAGCGGCTTGGGAGTGTAGGCTGCTAGCAACGTGGTCACCACATCTCTTTTCATTGCATGGATCCTCCACAACGGAAAGGATCGCGTTGAGCGGATAGAGGCATCGCATCGGTGTCTTCGATCTGGAAGCATTTGGAACGCAGAAGTCCAGGGTGCTTTCTGTCGACGGTCCGGGGTGGCTGCTTTGAGACGTGTTGTCATCATGCCCCAGCAAGTTGAGACATTTGGACCATTTGTTAAAACCGTTCTTTGACCGCCAGGCAGTGTCTACACCACACTCTTCTGACACCAATCCAACACATTTCAGTACAACAGAGAGCTTTGTTCAACCAGGTTCCTGCCCAGTGGCTCCTCTCCTGAACACTCTTCTCCCTCCGTTTCTCACCTCCACCGAGGTTTGGGCGGACACCTCCAAGCGTGGCTTCATGTTGGTGCCTGGTCAATGAACTATGCGATGCTCATTGTAGCACAAAATGGCAGAAACATGCGGGTGTGAAGAACATATTGAGGCTTGTGTATTGGATGATGTAGAAATGACATACCATCAAATACCTATAAATCCTCTTTCTTGTTCAGAGTGTAGAGTGTCTTGCAGTTGTTAGGCCATCCATGGCCATCCCCACACCTGCCGGTCATACAAACGGCCTTCGACTTGGACCAACGCGCGAATGTCCGCGGGTCACCCGAGCTGACCAACCTGGCTGAGTCGCTTCGTTCGTCAGGTGCATCTCAGTCACCAGACTCAACACCTGGAGTACATTGCCGTGGATGTGGCCACCCCCAGCCGAGGAGCCAAAAAGCATAGCATGGGCCATGTGGATGGGATGGAGAGTGGGGTGAGGTGGCGGAAGGAAACGATCATGCATGGTTGCCAGGTATGACCAAAGCAACACGTGCAGGTTTATATGTATGTTTGCACACATAATATGTGTAATATATAATATATATTTATATGGAATTATGCTTTGTGTTTTCTGCAGTTGATCAGGTGCTGGATTTCCTCAATCAACAGCAGGGAAACCTACTTGTGCCCTCCAAGCTGTACTCAGCAAGGAGGGCAGAGTAAAGGAGAGGAGAGGACAACTGAGAGGGAAAGCAGGATGGTTTTTGGACCTGGTGTTCAATGGATAGACATGACGGCAAAAATGCCCATGTTCAGTAGCAGTTCTTCCCAACACGCCACCTTTTTCCCTTTGGGGGTAGAACTCTATACAATTATATATTGTAATAATGTAATATAATAAGTGACTCCCTGAACCCTGAACCTGCAATGCTCGACCGCCAGGCTTGGCCACTTCCGAGTGCTTGGCGGCCTTCGACGTGCAACACGGCGAAGTGAAGATCCAGCCCAGTGCTTGCAGCAGACGCCCAAAGTTGGCAGACGTCGCTGCGCTGGAGCCTCAAGCATCTTGGGCGCATGTTCATAGCACTGGGGGCGGCGGCGCGTCTGGCGGCACTGCGACTCTTTCAGGATGTTCTATCACCCAACGGATTTTACTGTGGTGGCAAGGTCTAATTGGCCTGTAGCCATGTCAAACTGCATCACCCAACTGACCCAACTTATTAGAGAGTGGGTCGTTGCCTTTCAACACCTCATGTTTGTTGCCGTTGCCTCGGCCAGGAAGGAGTGGACGCTCAGCCAGGATGACCCTGAACATGCGGTGTTGGAAGACCATGTTCCGCCACAAAGCACTACAAATCCAATAGTTTTTGGGGATCCATCATCTGAGGGATGACGATCTCTCCGATCTCCCAATTTTGCTTGTCGGAACACATCCAGCTTTTGGGTCATCAATTAATAATCCTAATTAGTTGTACCGCCCACCCAGCAACGGTCCTAGAAGAACTATTACTTGGTAGGAGCTCCTGAAAAGCCTTGAAATGCTGAGGGGCCCAAGGTGACTACACCGAGTTACTATATAGTGACTATACAGTACAGGATACTGAAGGTATAATAGTCTCCAACCTGTTGAGGCTATGGTGCCCATTTGGTCCCTGCTGGTGGCCTGCTGCCTGGGCACGCTGCTGGGTGGCTGTTTCTGTCGCCTCAAGCAGCGCTGGTCTGGCACCAAGCGTAGCTACGAGCATTGTGAGGCACCGGACGGCATGGGCCGGGATATGCTGGAGACATTCCCTTAGTACCGAAGCTATACACAATTTTGTTTATTGCAATTACTGACATGTGCAACCATTAGCAAGCAAAGAATATCATATGGGGTGCTTGCTGGTGCTTGCTGGTGCTTGCTGCCCACAACCATGCATTGCCTTGCACTCTCACCTGAAATTCTCTCACATTCTTCCCCATAGAATTCTGCCAACTTTGAAAGATTGGAATTGAACGTCAATTAACATGAGGAATATGCTGTGATGCAAATATGTGCACATCTTGTGCTACAAACCAGTGGCAAAAAAATGGGATTCAAGCCATTGGCAAACCACTCGCAGTGAACTGAGGGACTGCCGGACTGCCATTGGATTTAGGCCATGAACGCTACAGCTACAACTGTTGCCCCCACCACTTGGAATAGAACAATTATGAACAAGTACCCTCACCATTTCTCATGTTTCCGGGTCTTGTGGTGTGTGTGTTTTTCTTATTTTGTATGCATCCTACCTCCGTGGTGTTTCTCGTGGTCACTGTAACGAAATAGCCCCAGCTTGGGCGGACAGACTAGCCCCATATCCCCTTTTCCCCGGACCTTTCCGAAGACCAACCTTCTCCGCCACGGTTTGAGGCCGCGGAGGTTCCTCCCTGCAACTTGGGCGCCACGGAGCTCCGCTGAGCGATGAGAGCTGCGGAAAGAGCCGACCCGGGCGCTGGCACCGTTTTTTCTCCACGGTTGGGCAAATGGGGTTGACCATGTGGCGTTTTGCAAAGAAAAACGGTCTTATGTGTAGTATGCGCAATTGGTTTGACATATATTTTTGTATGAGGCTATTAAATAGAAGTGCCGTGTGCGGGAATCATATGCAATCAGGAAGAACTGGAGGCTTTGTGTGGGGGGGTTCTATATTGAACTGTATGAGTATGAGGTTATATACCTGCCTGGTCCACACAAAAGTTTCGTTGAGCCATCGATCCACCCATTGCCCGCCCTGAACAGGGCTTCCGAGAGATGGTTCAGCGCTGCAAGAAAGCGGGCGTGGACACTTGGCAGATCTCTCTTTATCGTCGCCGAATTGAATAGACCAACATGACGCTGTGCCGGACTAAGGCAGATGATGCCGCACTGTATGTGTTTGATTACCCTCAGTACACTGCATAGAGTTGGGGGTCCTCAAGCACCTTGAGTAGAATGTAAATGTGTAGATAGAAGTATAAATATATATATATATATAAGTGTAGGGAACAGACAAAAAAGCATCTAGCTGAACAGACCTGCCCACCATTTTGACCACACTAGCTGGGGCGTCAACTACCGCCACATCCCAGGATGTTATCGCCGATGCCGTGGTGAATCATGTGGCTGCAGGCGCAAACGTGAAAACAACACAACAAAACACAATGGGAGTCCCTCTTGAATAGAATACCGAATTCAGGGTTCTGGCATGGCATAGCTCTGACGAAAAGCTTTGCACTCCAAACCTTAGGCAGTGGCACTGGCATTGCTGGCAGCCCCTATGGTAACCGGAAGACCGCTGCTCAGCTGCAGTTGCTCCACAACATGGGTGGGAGAGGAGCTGAGCCAGAGTGAGAAGATGCTCAACGAAGGGGATGGGGTTCAAATAAACCATCTAAGGCCGTATGGGCAATTGGCATTCCCAAACCATTTTCACACCCGGTGCCCAAGGCTTTTTATAATGGATGCATCCCCAAGATGCATGCACGCGTGCAATGCATAGAGAGACCAGGGAGTCTATGGATGGCCGCGCTGGTGGAGAGTTTGCTGCAATGTTTGATATTGTTTGATGATTTTCCTGCACCTGTGTCATCTTGTGGCTCTGGCAGGTTTTAGGCAAGACATCGGATTGTTTTAGAATTTTAGACAGACCATGCCAGACATGTGGCGGAACCGCAGGTTGCAATCTTTGCAGGACAGTCTCGCAAGACATGTGGCGTCACACCCCCAGGGTTCTGGCTCTTGAATCACCAAACAATCAGCCATGGCCATAGTTCACCATTAGAACGGTAGAGTAGGTGATGGTAGACGACCGAAAACTCATGACCACTCTTTGGTTCCGGTAGGCTTAGGAATGCAATACGCGCCTGTCCTTTTCAAGTGCTGTAGCCAGTATAGTTGCAGCTTCAGATTTCAATCTCCGGACCACTGATGACTAAAACCTCATGAGCCTATCCTTGCGCCACGCGCCATTCATCGTGCTTTCACCGCTGGACCATTCTCCTGCACACCGGGATGTGCAGCAAAATGCACGTGGAGACGCGTGTGGTTTCCATCGCTTGGGGCGGCGATGGTGCCAGGTGGGGTGGCACATGGTGAATGCATTGCGAATCGCAGCAAGTTCCTCAGTTCAGGTGCTGCTTCCTCAGTCAGCATGTCCAGACAATTCAGGACTTTTGACACACACCACCTGCCCAGAGACCCGCAGGCCGTCTTGGCGGGCGCCACGTCGATTCGAGCCAAGAGCAGGCAGCAAGCGCTAGCTGGGGCGCCGTCTCGGCGCACACAGCTGCTGGTGGATGCGGACCAGTGGCCCACCTCAAAGCAAGAAGATGAGCTTTCATTTTACAAACATGTCACATTGTCAGATGATTAACCAATGAAAAGGGAGGACAAACTCTTCCCCCCCCAAGAGAACACTTGACGGTTGCATATTGTAATAGTTAACTATATAGGCATTAGTGACCAAGAAGATGGGTTTCTTCTCCGCAAAGAACCCCAAGGAGGCCCAATTGAGCTGATACCCATTCATGAGACACTTGTGGACCCTACTTACTTTGGCTGTTCTAGACATATTTCTGCCCGCTTGCACCCACAAGTAGCAATTCGGCATCTAGATCAACAAAAAAACAAAAAATCATCCAACAAAAATAAATAAAATCAACATATTATCAACAAACAAATAATGGATCCAAAAACATATTCATTGATAGACCTTTTCTGCTGCTCCCCTGGCCCTGTGGTCTGCGGGTGCTCTGGTGCTTTGGTCCGCTGGTCCACTGGTCCTTTGGTCCCCTGGTCCTTTGGTCCCTTGGTCCTCTGGTCCACAGGCTCTTTGGCCCCCTGGTCCTTTGGTCCTGGTCCGGTCCCGTGGTCTCCTGGTCCTTTGCCCTCCTGGTCCTCTGGTTTGCTGGTTTCCTATGGTTTTCTCCTTGTTCTTTCACTGATGCTTTTTGATGCCCTTGGTCCTTTCTCTTGTAGCTTATTGGCCGCAGTTTTCCTGCAAATGTACCATGCTTTTGGCTTCGGTTGCCTTAGGTCCTTTTGTGCACTTTTATTTTAGATGCCCTTCACTGAAAGGGCGATAGGGTACATAGTTTCTAGTGATTCTTTTGTGGTGCTGTAGTTTAACGTTTGGTTCGCTTTGGGGGGAAGGCGCTGCGCCCTGCCCCCCAACCCCCCTCCAGCACCACGAAATCTGCACTCTGCACTGCGCCTGCCACGAAAACTAACTATATGTAAAGGGTCGCCCATCGCATTTGCAGATTGTCCTCCTCTTGCCCTTGTCTTGGCCGCGCCCCTGTTTGTGGGGCTAGAATAGTTTTTTTTTTGTTGATTCCCTTTTTATGTTTTCATGTTTTTGGGGATCCCCGTTGAATATTTTGTCGATTTACTTTTTGTTTTTTTTGATCCCTTACTCTAGCACCTTTGGAAAAGTGGATTGAACTGGATGACACCCCAGTGGCTTAGGGAATCCCATCATGTTGAGACGCGCACCGCACCCGAAATGTTAGATGAAACCCGATCATCCTTCAGTTCTATGTCCAGCCTTAGATTGTCCAAGTAAGGTTCAGCATAGAGATGATACAGGAGGCCATTCGCCTCCTGGGCGGCCATGGACAGGCTCGGCCATGGCCCTGCCGGCTGGGTCGAATGTGGAACCTGCGAAGGATGTGGGAGAGTCTAGACTGACAAGGTCACCTGGTGACGAACAGCATGAAAAAAGGTACTGAAACCTAAAAAGGAGATTAAAGGAACGTGTATAGTTGAGTAATTATATGCCCATGGACGGGGTTTTCTGTGCCTGCACTGGCAGAGATATGCCCCGTCGACAGTCCAGCGGCTCTTCCCCTGATTTGACCCTTTTCGGAGTCACTTGGTCAACTGAGGTAAGCGGCCAACTTTCAACCTTGGGCTTAAAAGTTAAAGTGGTACTCTTGTTTTATCACCAGATCTTCTTATTGACTAAGTCTTCCCCATCCATTCTTTGGGATGTCCTTTGCAATCCCTTGTGTTGGCTTGCTGCTGCGTTGCTCACCGTTTGGCACTTTGCATGTGTGAAACATCCGAAGCAGCGCTCCATAAGATAGAGATAGATCGAGTGCATGGTTTCAGAGTCCGTCCGGGTGCGTCCCCAAGCCTCGGTGGTTTGTAACCCCCATTTGTTTAAGCCTAGCTTCTCCCTCCAAGTCAAGTGCCTCGTTTTACTGGCCTCCTTTTGAGGTGGAGGGTCTGGTGGGTGGGTATCAGTGCCATCGAACCTCTGAAACCCCTGTGCCTTTGCTGCAGCGCGACGGCGCCCCGAATGACCTCCAGGTGACGACCTTCATCTTCGCCGAGCCGGGCCGCAGGAGGAATGCCCACTGGGCGGCGCTTCTGCCGATGGGAAAGCATGGGAAGGGCGCTCCAGGATACGGAAAGGGTTGACATCTCCCTATAGGGCTCCTGTCCCACCTCCGTTTCGAAGGTGGGACGGGGGTGGGTGCCAGGGGGGGCTGAATACCACGGAACCTGAGGATAGGGTTGGAGCCCTAGGGTATATTGACATGGATAGATTGAATACCCAAACACTCCATGTATGCCATAGTTGCTTACATTTGGGTCAATGATGGTCAATGTAGGTAAATATATATGCCATACCTGGAGTGTTTGGGATAGATGTTGGGTAGTGGCCCGATGGAAAAGAAAAAGGACTGACAGGTGGGGTTGGAAGCCATTGCTTATCATTGCTTCGTAGTCCACACCCTGTGTGAAAGAAGCATGCGCTTTGGCAGGAACCCAGCCCCCTGACGGATGTGTTGGTTGCTTCATGGGATTGTCGGGATCCCCTGGAGTCACTTGTTGCAAGCATGAGCTGCACTGCACATTTCCTCCAAGTCACTTGCCAGTTCACGCAGACCTGGGTTTCATTGTGTTTGATTCATTGAGTCAGGACCATGTCATTGAGTCAGGATCATGTCATTGAGTCAGGACCATGTCATTGAGTCAGGACCATGTCATTGAGTCAGGACCCCGTGTCCCTTTTCTTTGTGCAGTCGACCATGTCAAAACGGGGATGGCCACAAGGCCTCCTGGCCTCCGCACAAAAGGCGACAGCGCGGCATTCGCTTTTGTGCGGTGCCGCGTGGCGGCTCCCCCCCACCGGGAGCCCAATGACGAAGCCTTGGTCGAAGCGCTGCATGGGCTGGCGCGGAACACTGAGGAAGCTGGGAACAGCAAGACCAAGAAGAGAAGTTCACATGGTCAAGCAAGAGTGAGTTTCTATACCAGGACCCTCCGACAGGTCACCAATAGAGACCTGTTAGGGCCTAACAACCCTCAACTAACAGCCTGTTGGAGGGTGCTGGTATATATCACTTGCTGCAATCAATTCACTCCTATGATCTCTCATGAGTCGTTATTTTCCGCACCACACTGGTGGTGGAACTCCTTGTTTGGACATGCATGCGGTTGCCCAGTTCCACCAGGTGGGCACCACACTGGTGGCCTAGGAGGCCCAACGGTGTGTCGAGATGGACTGAGTGCTTCTATCAATGATAGGAGGACTGAAAACATCACCATCCTTCCAGGCAAAGGATTCTTATATAACAAGTTTCCCTGCAAAGAAGTGGAGTTCACCCCCTCTTGGTAGAGTAAAAGAGTCTTCCAAGGGGCCAGACAGTCCACTTCCATGATTGTTTCAGGGAGGGTAGTCAGTGACATGAATCCCCCTCTAAGCATCCACGCTGCAATTCCACCCAGCACTGGCTGAGGACATCGCTCTCTTGACCTCCGACTGCGGCTTCTTGCCCACGCTGCTCGCCATCCAAGAGCTCACGCTGCTCGCCACGCGCGCGATGCAAGTGCTCATTCCTCAGAACCGCTACGGAGTGATCGCTGCTTGGCGCCCACCAGCTGTCGGATGCTGTGGCAGGTCTGGGGTGGGGATGGAAGGCTTGAGATTGAGTCAGTCGACTTCTAGATGACGAGACATCTCCCATGTTTTTATTATCTAGTTTGCTGCTATGGTGATGTTCTTTGTAGCCAGCTGCACCTGCTTATATAATGGGTACGTTTTGGTCCAACAGAATCCATCATGCACTCAAGTTGGGAATCGATCCGAACGACACCAAACTCTTTGTTCATTGGATTAGATTAGGTTGCACTTTGGTGCACACAGAGTTGCACACAGCAGACACTCATTCCAGTTTGAGCATCAAACTTTTGCAACAGGTTGAGACGTTGCCTTCATTGGGATAGAACCCCATGACCACTTGCAGTGAAGATCTTTAGAAAAGGAAGCTACGCTGTTGGTATTGTTTGTGTGTCCTGCTATGGAACTAATGTTGGAACAAATTTACACTCTGGGCCCCTTCACCGGCAAAGTAGCTGCTGTCATTCTTCAATAAATGTATGACATGTTTGCCCTCCCAACAATCAGAAGTGGACCTCGTTCTCCTCCATGAGCCTTGGCGTGTCAAACCATGTGGCTACCGCCATGACTGCCATGACTTGGGTCTCCAGGCTTGCTACGAGGCTGCAGGGCTTCCAGTGCTCCGGCTGTGCCTGCCACCGGTCGCCTTCACGCGCGTCCGGGCGACGCTGCAGGTGGATGGCCAGGGGCTGCGACCTTAGAGGATGGGAGGAAGCGGTGAAAGTGCTGAAAGCCGAACGAAAGCCGAAAGAGGAGGGTGCCCCAGACCCCAGGTTTTGGGCCAGGGCCCACCCCCACGGAAATACAACTCCAAACCTCAGGCCGCAACGACCTTTGTTCCGAAGTTGCTTGGGCTGGGTTTGGGAGGTCTATGTACCTTCTGAGGAGGTAGTTGGAGCCCTAGGGATGTGGAATGGTTTGTGACAACTTGATGCTATTGATGTCAAGTCATGCCGGTTCGAGGTTTGTGCACCTGGATCACTCTGAGCCTTTGGACGAAGACCAGGCCTCTTGGGGATGAGAAACAAACATGCCAGCTGGTGCAGCAGTTCTTTCAAGTCGATGCAGCAGGGGCTTGCAGCTTGGGTGGTGATCACCACTCAGTAGTTGAAGAATTCTCCTGGAGTGCTTACCATCATTATATAGATGTTTATTCTTGTGCACTTGAATGTCCAAAACCTTGAAAGGAGTTTCTATACTAATATAGGTCCGCCCAGGGAACATGCACATGCTGCTGCATCACATGCTACCCTAAAACTGGCACCAGTCGTCGGCTTCAATACTCAAAGTGCTGACATGAAAAAGGCACGCCCCTGACAAGTGAGCATACCCCCCAAACAAGCTTTGGGACGTGCGCGTGGTTGACATGTGGCTGTGGGTCAAAACCGGGGGGGTGCTGGTTGAGCACGGAAAATGAACAGAATGAGGAGGTCCACCGGTCCATCTACCAGGGTCAACTAGCACAGCCGGACATCTTGATGTGCTTTGCAGGCTCCTAGAGGTCTCTATCAGCCCACCTTGTTTGGATCCCGTAGATGGAGATCCGGGATCCCGTAGATGGAGATAGCAGCCTGGCCTGTGTTGTTTGGCTGTTGGAGCAGTACCACTGATCATCTACCATGGTGCCAGCTGGGTGGACGCATACATACTCAAAGGCATTCAAAGGTAGAGATACATATAGACTTAATATAGACAGATACTGTAGATAGATAGATAGATAGACAGACAGACAGACAGACAGACAGATAGATAGATAGATTCAGATAGATAGAGAGATATTGTAGATTAATAGATAGTAGATAAATACAGTAATCAATTGGACCAATAAAAGTAAATATGTCGCATGCTATACTCTAGTATGCGGTATGCCCTCTAATCTTTCACCCATTGGAATTCTTTGCTTTGCTCACTACCATCCTGGCAGCGGAACGAGTGTTTCAGCACTACGCACCGGGAGGTCCTCGAGCAACAGCAGGCGGTCCTGAAGTTTCTGGACGGCGGCCGTGGACGGCGTCATCAGGAGTTCCTGATCCACAACATGGCCAAGTGGTGGTTCCTGAACTCGAGAGGCCATGTCACGAGAACATGGGGTCGGTCGTTTTGTTGCCGTGCGCAGGTGTGGAGAGTAGGCTCTTCAGCAGACACTATAGCTTGTTGAAGAGTAGGCTTGACCAAGCGTCGACTAGAAGCCTTGCTTCTTCCCGCGTGCGTTCCCACAGATCGGATCCGCCACATGTCTCGCCAGACGCTTGAGGAGTCTTCCGCGTCTCGTCAACGGCCAGGATTGCGTTTGATTGAAAACGGGTGCGTTTGAGGGGCTGTTAGTCATAGAACGAACGCAAGGAGGATTTTTTCACGTCTTTTTTTCTCCCTTCAGCAGATTCACATGGGGCTATGGACATGATCCATTCTCATGGATTTCTCCATTTGCCACATTTGCCTATAGACTATAGAATCTACAGACAACCATAGCAGAACAGCAGCGGCAGGCCCACTTGTGGTCTATCCTGAAGCTTGGCTTGACAAAGGATCCATGGCCCAAAGGATCCATAGTGTCAGATGGAGTCAAGTCATCCCTGGGATCCAATGAACCTCTCTTCCCTGGACATCGCCCAGCTACTTCGGCAAACACTTCAAGTCTGACTCCAAACGCCGCAGTGAGCAAACGAGTCGGACGAGTCTAGCTCACTAGTGAAGTGTGAGTTTGGACAGTGAGTAAACGACTCTTCCTTTCGTTTTTCATCATCACCCGCAGACTTCCTTGTGTTCACGTTCCGTGACAACGTGAACACAAGCGTCAGAAACAGAAACCATGGTTGGGTGGCCGAACAGCAGTAGTGATGATTATGAAGCTGCTCCAAAAACCTGGTGTCCAATGGGAGTTGGGAGTTGGGAGGGAAAACACACAGGAATGAATAGATAGTTTAAATACTTAAATAACAATTCCACGCTGTTTACACTCTGGGTAGGAACTTAAAGCTGGTACCCACCCATAGAAAACATTAGAAAACATCAACATGTATATAGAAGATTGAAACGCAATGAAATAGTGTAGGTTTAGAAACAATCTAGGCTGGGAGAACAACAACATGTAGAAGGTTGAATCGCAATGGAAGGGTGTAGGTTTAGAAACAATCTAGGCTAGGAGAACAAGTGCTTGTTTCGAAGCGGTGTGCCATGGGGATTGGGAGAGGAAAACACGCAAGAATGAATAGATATGATTGACGTTTACAGAGCAATTCCATGCTGTTTGCACTCTATGTAGAAACTTAAAGCTGGTACCAACATGTGGGTCAGAATCGGTGTGCCATGGGGATTGGATCACGGCAACCCACAGAAAACCTTAGAAAACATCAACATGTAGAAGATTGAATCGCAATGGAATAGTGTAGGTTTAAAACAATCTAGGAGAAAAAGTGCTTGTTTCGAAGCGGTGTGCCATTGTGTTTTCTTTCCAAATGGGGTAAGTTCTTGCATTCGTGGGGTAAGCGGTGTGCCATGGGGGTGGGTCAAGTTCATGTGCGATGGGGTAAGTTAGCACGTCGGGTCGTACCAGCATGTCCCAGTGCACTTCCTCCTTCCTCTCACCACTGTGTCACCACTGTAGGAACAGTTCACCATCCTAGCCATGCAAGAGCTCATCCAAACAAAGCAGCAGTGCCTGGCCTGCCGATGACGAATGTTGTTGATTAATTTGTATGTTCTATTGTTGTTTCGTCTCAATTGGGCAAACCCTCCGGAAGCCCCCGCAAAACATTTTTTTTAAACATCATTGATGAAGACAATCTCTTTGCATGAACAGCTTTGGTGAAATCGTTGTTTTCGGGCTTATCAACCACAGAAAGAGCAAGATAGTGATTGTAGTACTTGAGGCTACTGCTTGCTTATAATATAAGAAGGATCTGACGCTAGCACGGTGCTTGGCGGTTTCATGATTTCTTCATGTTTGTTTATTGTTTGTTGATTGTTGACCCTTTTTCTCTTCTTTGGCTTCATGTGACACCCGTGACCTGCTACTCATTCACTGAGTCGGCTCCGATTGGGCACGACCGACTGCGTCACTGGGCGACTGCGTTATACCTGGCTCGGTCGAGGTGGAAGGAGTGCGACTTCAGCTCCTTGGCCTTCTTCCTGCCCTACTCTTCAGTGCCTTGGCATATCTTGGGCTGTCAGAAACCGCGGGCTGGAGGGTGTTGTATTGTTGGGTGGGGTTGGGGCTGGGCTGGTGTGGGTCGGTTGGTGGGTTTTTGTTTGCTTGTTTGTTGTTAGCTGGCGGTCCTTTGGCGATCATGGACCGGCGTGTACAAGACTGACAAGACCAAAACAGCAGCTGCTTCAGGAGACTATTCTGAGTTATTCTGATGCTTTGTCCTCAGGCGTGCTCTCAGACTTTTAGACCATCTTAGACCCTGAGTTTCTTACTCAACCACCAAAACGGCAAGACCCTTAGCACCAAGAACCACCGACAGGACAGGACTTACCACCTGCTTAGTTGCCAACAGGACGACGTGCAGGCCCCGATTTCCACAGCCTTCACGTCACGCAGCCTTCGCAAGGTGAAGGGCCGCTTGAGTGAGGAAGCAGCAAAGACCTATAGCCATGTGGAGGCCAGGGGGTGAAAGATATTGAAAGATGGTTGAGATATGCCTGATGTTGGTTTCGGTACGTCCTTAGTGCTTGACAAGTTGTCCCATCTACAAACTCACTCTCCTTGTATCTATAGCATAACTTGATTGCTCTTCCGGAGCCCTAGAGTTGAGTCACGGAACTCCCGACGCGCGCGCACGGAAATCCGCTGCACGGAGCGAGCTTTTTCCGCTGATGGATTGCCTCCGCTCACGCTGGAGGCCAAAGCCATCTTTTTGGGCGATGGACCATTCATGTTGGTGGACTCTCCTGAGTTAACCTCCGAAGCTTTGAGGCGATCAGAGCCGGGAACACGGTGTGAACGCGGAACGCGGAACGCGTGTTCGCGGGGAACGGGACGTCTTGTGAGCGCCCCGTCTTGTGACTGATGGCTGTTGGTTCTTGAGGAGAGTGGTGATCCGATCAACTCTCCAGAGAGGTAAAAGCATGGACCTTTAGAAATTGCCCAGGAATCATCCTTGAGACGACTAAGTCATCCTGATGGAGAGCTCAACATGGAAGAGATGGAAGACATGGAAGAGGTGGACCCAATTGATAGTGACCTTGCCACATGACCTATGTGGTGAATTCTGGGTCCACCACCTACCCTGCATCGCGTAAATACGGAGGAAGCTGGGCTACATGGACGATGAGTTCAACCAAGACTTGCGGGAGGCCGTTCTGTTGCTCTGTTTGCTTGTCTGTTTGTTTGTGGACCACACAAGACACAAGATTGAAGTCATTGGACAGAGGCCATGTTTTGCTTTGTGAACTCCAATGACAACAAGAATCACTTGCGGAAGATGAGCCTACTGCCAGTTCCAGGAGATAGTCTCCAGGCCGGATCTGACAGGACGTAGACTTGGTGTTTGTGCGGATGGCCATCTACAATCCAAGAGGTAAGGGAGTATTGAATCGCCGCAGATATTTAGTATCGATTCTACAAGTGACAAGATTTATCGTGGCAATCTTGAACGTGTGATCAACACTGAGAGCTGAGAGGTGCATGTGGTTGCATCATGTTTGGATGATTTATATAGGCCAATGACCAATGTTGTTCATTCTCAGGCTCAGTTTGTGTTCGAGATACAATGACATTGCTGGCCATCATGGTAGAATAAGGACTTGGCTTGCTGCTCTTGCTTGGTTGTATGATGCTGTATAGCATGGCCAGAGACTGGACTTGCTAGTCAACCACGATCTTTACATCATTAAAAAACCGTTTTCCACTCCCTTAGGGACCCGGGGCCACAGGGCCACACCAGTCGAGCAGAATGACCCAGTTGCCCACTTGACCGAAGTTGTCTTCGTTCGTTCGATCCCGACTCCAACGTTCATCCGACCCGTACCTCGGCGCGCCCTCGGGCGCGCCCTCAGCTTTGCCCTCCACCCCCCCCGTCCGGTCCGCCCTGGAGGACGTGGAACGGAAGCTGCACCGGGCCTTCGTGTCGCATGGCTCCCAGGGGCGGTGGCAGCGGAAGAACGGCGGCGACGCACGGAATGGGGCCACGCGGCCGTTGCGGCACATTCTGCAGAAGGCCCAGATCTTGGAAGCTTGGGAGGTGGAAAGGAATCCACGAAGAAGAGGTGGCCAACAGGGTTCAGGCTCCACCTTCAAATTGCTGTAGGACCTTGTAGAAGCCCTGGGCACATGAATTTGGGCGTGAATTTGAAGCCCGTAGCCTTACTACATGTCTTATCATGTCTTACATTGTTTTACTGTCATACACCTACCAACTGTCAGATAACGACTCAGAACCAGAGCAAATCAAGAATTGAGTAGCTCCTCATGACTTGTTCATGCTTTTTCTACGCTACGCCAGCGAGCAAGTAACTTCGAGCTCTTGATTGAATCCGAGGATCGGAGGAGGAGCTACTCCAAAGCTGAGATCTTTGAAGCCATGAAGGTCGGTCTTTATCGTCTTTATCGATGAGTTGCATGAAGACCTGGATGCATACACCAGCAAGCTACCTCTTTTTGATTCATTCAGCACACTAAATTTACCTGTGATTGAATTGAATTGCAAATCATCATTTTGCGGGTACAGTATTGGCCATGGGGCTTGCTTCCTCCGCCGTTCCCCACGTTGCCACGGTCCACGGTACGCTTCGCGGAAGTCCGACGAGGTCTACGCGCAGCAGAACGCTTTGCCCGCTGCCAAGACCTTCAATGCCCTGGCCTTCCGCGTGATGCGGCAGCATCTCAAGGACCCACAGTGCCGCCCAGTGATTGAGTTCGAAGACAAAAGACTCCGCGGCCCAGGGGTGCGGAGCAGTGCGCAGCTGTGGTCCATGGAAGATAAGATTGCCAGCACACCTCAACAGAGGTAAACGAACGCATACTGGGTGATGCAGAAATGGTTCGAATGGTTCGAATGGTTCTCGTTGCACCTGGCAGGCATGGCGCTCAGATGGTGGGGTTTGGTCGAAGAGTTTGGCACCTGACACCCCCGGGAAGCTCGGGATGGTCCTGGGAGACCAGGGGTGGTTGGGACGGTGTGCTTATCAGGTGGATGAAGAAAGGATTCCGACCAGGTCGTATCATTCCAGCTGGCTCGGTCATGTAGATGGTTCAATATTGCGACCTACACTGAAGACACATGTTTTTCCAGAAAGAGGTGCTCGGCTTGCTCGGCTCAGGTCCTCTACAACCCTGAAGACTTTCATCACAACTCGGGCGATTTGAGCGACAACTGTGCCTTGCTCGGCTGCGTCGTTTGTGTGGCACAGAGGTCGGAAACGGTGCGGGTTCTGTCGGATGCTCCAATGAAGGTGGCAGAAACTGGTGGACCGAGCTTGATAGGTCCCTAGATGTCCCCCAATATACAAGAGGATTGAGAGGACCAATGGGACAGACCCCAAGTTCGGTGGTTGACATGGCCCATCTAAAAGACATCTTGGGGTCTGTGACATCTGCTCTGAAACCACTGTAGAGGTCAGAGCTTGCTTAGAGCCATGCACCTGAGACTTTGACTGAACCAACTGGTGGCTCTCATGAGTGAAGGTCAAGCAGGCACTCTCTGCAAATCGCTCTTCGGGCTCAAGTTCGAGTGCGCGCCGTTGAGCAGACATGCATTTGATGCAAGAATAGACTTTGCAGAAGTATAATACTGTACAGTGTGTATCATGAAGTATCTCCAACTCCGTTTGCTGGGTACGCTCATCCCATTTTTTTTTCAGCTGGAAAGCGGGTCCGGTCGCGAAATTCATGAGCAAATCAAAGGTTTTTGAATCCACTCTACTAAGTCGTTTGCGCGCACCGAATACGATGTGCCCTGCATCTTGAAATCGGGGAAGACGATGCTCTCAAGGCTGAGCTTTATCCGAGCACGACTGGTCACCTTAAACGACTGTGGATCGTTTTCGTGAATGATAGGTTTTGAGACTCCCATAATTTCCCTCCTGTGTAGTACAGGCAGAAGCTCATAAGTTATGGTTAATCCCTGGGGCTCCCAAAGGCTCCCTCAGACAACCGTTGTCGTGAAAATACCCCGGGAGACTCTCTCACGCCCAACTACCCCCTGAGACAAAACTGTTTCGTGAACGTTTTTGGGGTCATCTCATTGCTTGGATTTTTGGGGCAACATCCTCTCAACCCAACCTATCCTCGCCCATCCGCGGCCTGGCTCCTGCACATCCAGCGAAAGTCCAGACGACACTTGGCATCATTTTTCCGGGCGGTGGCGACGCACGGATCCCTAGGGCTCCAACTACCCCCTGAGAAGATGGAGGCCAACCATCGCTAGTAGGTTGGAGGCCATCGCCCAGGTTGGAGGCCATCATAGGCCATCGCTAGTAGGGTGGAGGCCATCGCAAGTAGGTTGGAGGCCATCGCTACTAGGGTGGAGCCCTATAGGTGATCTACACATGCAGATTGGATTCCAGTCCTAGATACCACCTCTCCAGGCCTGTACATTCCAATCCAATCTTGGAACTAATTCCACACATCCTGCACAAACGACCGATCCAGTCTTCACATGCAAAGCCATGGTGAAATCTGTAGTTGATTCCTTAGATGATGGTGAAAAGCTTTTTGGGTCTAGTTTGGGGGGTCCACCCTAGTACTGGCTGGTGCCTAGGGTAGATGGAGAAAGGCCCCTCTGAGGTTTTGAACTGTAAACTTGATAAAGAGCCAAGCTAGCGTCGATCAGCGATCTGCTGAATGCAAAGCTCGTGCCAGGCCTAATCAAGCCAAACCAGTTTGAATGATAACGCGAAAGCGGGCACGCATGCTTTCCGGCTTCAATGAAAGGTACTACGTTTGTCCAAGCTACATGAAATTTTGGCCTTGCCGGCCATCGAAGTACACCGGCGTTCAACGCAGCCAATGCCAGCTTGACGTATGCCGTGCAGCACTTCTCCTAGGCTTTTGTGGAAGGGCTTCTCATGAACCCCCTTCCCACCAATTTCAGTGGATATCACCACATCAACCAGACCAAGAAAAACAGGTTGCTGGAAAGTCAATTCAAAGCTTCACATTCATCAGCCATTCTCATGGCTTCTTCCCGGCTCAGGAACTGGGGCAATGCTTCACTCAAAGAGTGGAACTGGGCAAGCCCGTGCCTCGGTGTTTGGAGGAAGGAATTGGTGATGCGGGGAAAGCTAGTTCCCCGGCTAGAAGAGAGTTGGGGCCAGAGCAGGGGCTCTCACAATCACGAATGGTAGGATTTAGGAGATGTACCATGTACCGGTTTCCTGCAAGACTGAACGCTGAGTGGTCTAAACTTGAGTAGTGAGAACTTGCCCTTGCCCTGTGCGACCCCTCTCAAAGAGCACCCAAGCCCAAGGGGCAAGCATGTTTGCATCAGTGTCCACCTCTCGTCGGGCGGGTCGAGGTTGCTGCTCAGCACATCATCCAACCACTGCACCACCACACGAGCCTCAGATTTGTCGATATATCGGCCCCTGCTGGTTGGAATATGTGAGAGCTAGACTTGCAACACCCCTGCGGAAGAAATATAATATCGGTTTAGATTTGAGCTTGGCAACGTTGTGGGCTTTGAACTGCAACTCAGGGTATGGGTGAACCCAGCTTTTCATCTTCTTGGTCGAAAACTTCGGAGCAGAATGCCTGAGCTTTCACCGAGATGGAGTTACGAAGCCTTTCCTCCCTGATTGTGAAAACACTTGGGGAAACGCGCTAACAATAGGCAGCGTGCACCTGAACAAATTATGTTATGATAGGCAAAATGCTGCCACTTATGCATTCTGGCCCATACTCTAAACTCTTGGGTGGCGATTGCAAGTCGTCGGTCGGCAGCCAACGAAGATCCACCCCACATGCACTCGTACTCAAGGAGCTCAAGGAAAGCCGAAGCCGCCACCCAGAGGTCAATCCCCAGGTTGACCACATGCATTGCATCCCACTTGACCTTTTCAAGGTCCCCTCCAAGAAGGGACACCAAAGGACCTCAGATGATATTGATAGGTTTCTGTTTGCATCAGCCACCTCAGCCTGTAAATATACTAATACGGCTGGATTCATGCGAGGGTGCATAGTCAATCTGAAGACCAGGTTTTAAAAAATCAAAAGGCTTGGGTCAAAAGAGACAAGTGTCTCGCATCACCTGGTTTCAAACACTTGGATATGAAAGACTCCATGTTTGTAATGCGAGGTTGTTGTAACAGGCAAAGCGGGGACTCAACCATGTAGTTGTCTTTGTCCATGTCACACCTGTGACAAATGTAGGTGCATTTGTAGTACCGCTTCATCAGCAACCATTCCTCTTCAGGGAGATCATCCAGGTAGAACACACACCCCTCTTCATTGGAACTTCTAGAGTCTAATGGGACACAAAATTTTAATTACAAGAATAATACGGCCTTTCAGTGGGTTGATCCCCGTCTGGCCACCAAAGTCCTGGTGAAATTTCCAATCGGCCCGAAGCTCTTGGACAACCGCCCTGAATGTCCCACTCGCACCTGGCGCATCGACGCCAGTGTAAAGGAGATCAAAGCTCTCACAAACCTGAGATGTTATGGCACGCGGTCGTTGTGCGCAAAGCCTACCATTGGAACACAGCCGCTCCGGACCCGAGGTTAGCCAAGGTTCAGCTTTGAGATAGGGTCTCAATGTTCCAAAGCCAGTGGATAAATCCTAGGATTCACGGGGCACTGGGTTCGAACATCAGCCCCTGTAAGGTGCGATTGCATGAGCAACATGGTAACATGCGGGTGAGTTTCTTCCCTGAACAAAAAAAGTGGAAAGCACCTGTTGATGGTCGTCTTTTCAACCTGCCGCTGCAGAACCAGGCCACAGCACACCACAGTGATTGACTCACCAGATTCTAGATACTGGCAGCCATCACCCCACATCCATAGTGGCACCATATCATTGTGCTCTGGCTTGCCAACATGCTGCCAGTACTGACGCGTGACATCAGCTGGCACTTGGGGGGAACAATCCACGGCGCATAAGCCATGGGAAGAGTAGATGAGGGAGAATCAGTGGCATTGACCTGAAAAGGGCAGCTCAATCACCCAGTTCATGCCCAAGACAAATAGCCTTTTATGATACCTGAGAAGCTGCAAAACGAAAGCCAGCGTTACCATCGGCCTCTGTACAACTACACCTTACCATTCAGATGATGCAAATGATGCAAATAATTGCATTTCTTGCATCACCACCCCGTCAAAAATCACAAAGAATCACCTCCAAAAAAAGCTCAAAAACCTTACTTCGGTGGACCCCTAAACACCACCTAATTTGGAGTTTACGTGGTCATTTCTCCGGCCACCCACCCCACACCCCCTACTTACTCACTTCGTTCGCCAAACACAACTCAGCTGGCGCCTTCTACGAAGGCTGGCTTTCGTAATTCACATTTAGGCGTTACTTTTTGGACCCAGACCCGGACCTTGTTTCCACCTCATCGTCCGCGCCAAGTTCCTTCTTGAGAGGCACATCAACCCAGCTGATGGGTACCTTGGAACAAATGGATCCGGAAGACACCACTTTCAGATTGGGAAGAGAGATGATGGTAGACATCAGTCAATGGAAAAAACAATAGTGTAAGTCACCAACAAGCTACTGTGTCAGGATTCTTTTTCTCAACTTTCCTCATCATATCCCGCTTCACATTCTGGGGGAATTTTCCATCAGCACCCGATGAAGCAAAATCTGCACAAGGTCCTTTGAATTTGTACCCCTGGTAGGCAAACTCCTGCAAAAAAATCAAATGCAACAATGACGGGTTCAATCAAATCCAGGTTTCAGAAATAGAAAGCTCCATACCACCCCACCACTCCTTGCGGACATATTGTAAGGTCTCCTGCGCCTTTCTGAACGAAGATTCCTCATGACGGAGAGAAGGGGCGCAAACCCCTTGCCAAAAATACAGCGTAGCTCCAAATGGCGGGGGAGCACAGTCCGGCCCATTTGATGCTGGCTAGATTCACCCAAACCACTCTCCTTCATGAGGAAGCTCACCAAGGGAGAAGTAGCGCCTGCGTGGGCATAGCGCTCAACCATTTCAACTCGATGTGGGTACACCCGGCTTTCATGTGGTGCACAACGGGGCGAAGGGAGGCATGGGCATGGCACTAAACTATTTCAACCCCATGTGTATTGCACAAAGAGGCCAAGAGACCATGCCCTCCAAGAGAATAACACCTGCATAGGTGTTGCACTGAAGCATTTCAACTGTCTATGTGGGAACACCCGTCTTTCACATGCACAACGGGGCCAGAAGAGATTGTGCTTTCCAAGAAGTGATACCTGGGCGTGGCACCATGCCCTTTCAACTCGGGAACATCCGGCTTTCACGGTACATGTTTTTACCTGCGCAGTCAGTTTGGTGGCTGCCACTCTGTGGGACCTTTCAGACACAATCTAAGCCCAAAAGGCGCTGGCAAAATTGCCATGAACAAATCATGGCACACACAACTGGGGTCTTCAGTTCTCGGTGCCCTCATCGGCATTCTGGACTGCAGGCTTGCCCTTGGTCTTGGGTTTTGGGGTAGCCTTCGGCTTTGGTGGTTCCTGAGCAGGCACAATGTTTGGTGCTTTGTGTGGGCACAAGGTCAAAACCAAGGACCTATATATCGACCTTAAGCTTATGCTCATCGATTAGGCAGCTCGAGGGGGGCACAGGAAAGATAGGTTAACATGGCAAGTTCTTGCATCTAGACTCAATGGCTGCTTTCACAGACTTCATCGTTCCACTCAAGCTGGTTGCCGTTGCATCCACACTCTTCAACGCAGCATCATATCGATCTTTAAGCTCTTTGTCATTCGCCACTGTGTCCAGCTTGCATGCAAACAAGCTTTCCAACTCGGTCTTGACCCGTAGAACCTCCTCCTTTCTGGCCGCAAGCTGACCCACAAGGCCTGACTTCATTGTATCAGACCTTGTCAGTCAAATGCGGGCCATGTATACGGGTAAGTAGGGTGATTTGCGCTTTCCAGGACACACTGAAATAAAAACATGTTGGAAAGAAACAAAGCTACAAGCTCGAGTCATGGCTTTTGGCTTCCCAGGCCATGATCTCGGAGAGCTTGGAACTAGTCCACGCGATCTTACCACCCACAACCTGTGTTTCTGTTTTGGGTTTCTTCTCCTTTCTGCGCGGCTCGCGGGGATCACCACCCCCACCACCACCATTTCCAGGAGGCACCACACCCGGACCTGCATTGGTGTTGGGAGCACCACCTGCTCGGTTTAGCAGAGAATTCTGTGCCCTCACCGGCAGCGAAAGCCTCTTGAGGTCACTGCTGAGAGCAGTTTGCCTTGGCAAGGAAGCCCGGCAAAGGGGGTATGGGGAGTTGTGATCAAGATGGGAGGGAGAGCCCTATCAGGTTTCATGGAACCAGGCCCAAAGGTTGCCATGGCCAAAACATTCGCCCCAAAACAAATACCCAACCATGTCAAGGAGGGCCAATTCAACGCTCTGATTCCAAGGGTTATGATATTAGTGGGGATGGGGCCATATTGGACAGCCAAAAGATGATAAGGCAGACCGAGAGGATATGGTTGGTATTTGCCTAAGACGAACTCTAAACTCATGCTTTTAAAGGGATAAAAAGGACGCAACAAGACGGGAAACGGTGTGATTGTGAGCCCCCCGGAAAATGTACCTTTTTGGGGGGGTCCAAAAAACATGAGTGGTTAGACCTAGCAGATGATGGAAGCAGCAGCATTTAAATGTCTTGTGAATGCAGTGGCAATGGCGCCACACTTTAGAAGGGCACCTGGTCTTTCTAGCTTCATCAGTTCTTGCCCGCACAGACCTGGGCCGAGTTGCGCAACCTGGCGGGTTTGGCTCTCATTGAGAGAGCCGGAGCAGTTCAGTCCTCGGGTGGTCTCCTCCTCGTCTTCCGACTCGTATACGAGTGAGTCGAAGCAACGCACCAACTCGTAGTCCTGGATAAGGTGGATCAAGTGACCCCACCCAATTCGTACCGACCCCTTATTATGGAAAACGGTTGGTGGGTGTCAAAAGCACCAACAGTCCTCCTTGTCGGGGACATCGGGATGCACCATCCAATAACATGTGCCATCAGTGGGGGCTTTGTTCTCCTCCATTTCCTTCTTTTTGTCGCGGATGCCTTTTGCTGCCGCCGGTCCGAAGCGTTCCTTCAACCAGCGGAACTCCTTCATGACATGACGCCCCTTGCGGCGAGCCGTAGTCTTTCTCATTGCATTCAAATAGATGGTGCTCTTCAACCAGCTCTCGCCGGATGCCAGCCAATCTTCGAACAACGTGTCCAGCAATTCTTTGTCTTAGTTGGGGCTGCGTGCAACAAGGGTGGGTGGCCCTTGTAATCGACAAGCAGGGGCCAAAACTAAAATCCTGTCTCCAAAAGTGAACCCTTAACACGAATCCCTAGCGCTCCAACCGCCTCAGAAGGAGTTATAGACCCCCTAATCCACCCCAACCACCTTGTGAGGAGGTGGTTGGAGCCCTATGGGGAACATTGATGGGTTCAAATGTTTGATCCAAGTCACTGTGCTTCTTTCCCACCGATGCCTTGAGCACCGCTTCAGGACAGTCTTTGCCTCACGTCGCAGAGCTTCAGGACGGGATTCCGGATATCCCGGGTGGTGGGAGGGGACGAGGAATCACGCATACATACCAATGATCGTGTGTACAGTTTTGTGTTGGATCCGGCAACTTGTTAACATAGCAGAATGCATCCTAGGAACTCTCGAAGCTTCTGTTGAAGCGCATGCGCTGGTTGTGGGCCTGCCTGTTGAGGTATTCCTGTTCAGTTTCCTGCCGACCCTTAGGCCCTTTCCAGTACACATTGGCCCCATCAATGACCACATCATCACCGTACTGCTGCTTCAGCTTCTCCAACTGGCACAGCAGGAGTGTGCTGGGCACCCTACAGCTGGTCAGATATGTTGATGGAGAGGGAGCACGCAAATCCAATCCAGGCAGATTAGATGATGGTCGGATTATCCACTTCTTTACGGTCGGATATAATATATATATATAATATGGAGAAAAAAGGGGAGGTATCCAGAAAGATCCGTTTTGGAAGGATGTTCAGCTGCTTTTCGGACACCTACTTTGGCTCAGCAACTGAATTTGCATAGGACACCAAAAAACTAACCACTCAACCCCGCCTCGAGTTGCGTTGTATCTTTCCGTTTCATCAACTCTTGATGCGATGTTGCATGGTCACTGAGCTTCTCCTCCTGAAGATACACCGGAATGTGTGCACAAGGGTTGAACACTTGCAATTTGGCCCAATAATTTCCTACTATATAATGATAACCCAACCCAACATGCGCAAACCAACACACGCAGTTCAAACCAACACACGCAGTTCACGTTCTCAAGACGACAAGGGCCTTGAGCGTAAAACATTCAAGATGAAAGGACGCTAATAGACTACTCGGTCGAAAAAGGGGGGTCTAGCTCCAGAATCCTTTTACAGGAGAATCCTTTTAACAAGATCTCTTCGAACAATTGAATTCACGTGCCCACCCACATGTGCATTCCAAGGCGGTCCTCAATCCCATTGTACGCTTTAACCTCCTCATGGTGCGGAATGTCTTTGTTGGCTGGGTCAGCCAATGTGCAAGGGTGGGGGGGCCGCCTCGGTATTGTCCAGAAGGGCCTGCATCTCATGCATCAAGGCGCTATCAACATCAACAGTATCGACTGTCTCGACAAAAGGCTCCATGAGCTTTGCCTCAAAGGCCTGGCGTGCGAGCTCAATCAGCTGGACCACCTTGGCCTCGATGTCATCGGATTTGGCTTGGTAAGCAGCCAACGCCGCGGAGTGATGGTCATCCAAATGCTTCAATTTGTTTGCCATCCATGCGTCGAGCTTTTGCAATTTGGCATCACAGGCTTCCTGCGAGATGGATCCGTTCTTCAGCTGCTTTTTTTTGCACTTCAGTCATGGCCTGCGCAGCCTCTTTGACCTTCAATCTCTCTAACCCCCATGTCTCCCTGATGGCCACATCATCATGCTCCAATGCCTCACAGCTCAACTGATCGATCTGGTTGACGGGGTCAGCAAGTGAGGGGTCCACCTGCTCGATGTCCTTCTGCTCCATTCGCCTTCTGAGCCACAGCTGACAATCATTGATCAGCTTGTCTGTGTCATTCTTGTAGGAATCCTCCGCATCCTCAAACAGGTAGTTGGACAGTGGTACATCCCAAGCTCGTGGATCCACTTCATTGCCGGTCGGACTTTGACCAGGCCACATGCATGGAGTTTCCTCCAGGCCCATCTGGTTGTCCGGGCTGGGAATCGGTTTTCCTTTGTCGTTGGGCACTGGTGTGGGGGCCTCAGGGTCTGGTGCAACGGCATGCGGCACCAATACTGCTTGAGGAGAGATGTCAGGTGCTGGTGTTGGCTCCAAACCACCTTCAGGCACAGGTTGAGGAGGCACCAGAACCTCACCGCCCTCTTCAGCTGCAGGTTCAGCAGGAGGCACAGATTGGCCCTTTTCAGCTCCAGGTTCAGCAGGAGGCACAGGTTGAGGAGGCGCCGGAATTCCACCGCCCTCTTCAGCTGCAGGTTCAGCAGGAGGCACAGGTTGAGGAGGCGCCGGAATTCCACCGCCCTCTTCAGCTGCAGGTTCAGCAGGAGGGACAGGCTGAGCAGGCACCGGCACCGGAATTTCACCACACTCTTCTTCAGCTACAGGTTCAGTAGCTGAAGAATGCACAGACTCATAGGATCCCAGCCGAATTGTTGTCGCTGTAGAATCAGTGCGCCGGATGGGCATGGAACCTGATCATGGTCAAAGTGGAGGAACCCCAGACCCAAATCTGTGCCATATATGCACGGACCAATATATCAAATGAGGAAAGTTGGGGGATCCAATCAGGGTGGTGTCTCACGCAAACCCGGCGCCACGCGACTGGAAGGACAAGAGACGCTGCAGCGCAGCCGGCTTCGAAGGCCCGGCAGGCTTTGAGGGAGGCGGCGCCTGCACCACGGATGGAGATCGACGTTGATCAGCCTGGGCAAGTCTGAACGCAGTGTTTGGGGTGCGTGCAGTTGACCAGATTACTTGTCAGAAAAAGTAATTACGGTGCATTTTAAGGATATCCTAAAACATGTCTCTCCATATTATCTCTCGATAAGCCGAGAAAACATTTGTTGGTGAAGAAGAAACTACGTTTGTTTGCAAACATAGTTGTTGTTATATGACAACATATCTAGTCATGTTATTTATATATAGAACATGCCCAATACAACGTCGCATATCAGCCTGGCAACAGAAACTGGTTCAACCTTCACAGCACCCCCAGCTGTGGGTGAACACGTCACTGCCTTGTCAAGCTCACCCTCCAAGCTACGAGCCACTGGAGCTCCCCCCACTTCATGCCCCTTCAAGCGCTTGTGCTCTGGAGACTTGATTGGAGTCGAGGTGGTTGAAGAAACTGTGGCAGTAGAAGGCTTTGGCTTTGGCACAGCAGCAGCAACACAAGGTTTCAGCTTCTTCAAAGTACTCGTTGGTGCGATCTTCACAGCTCTAGAAGGGGTAGCCACTGGCTTCGCGCACACAGGAGCACCACCTCCAAGGTGATCCAGCATGATTCAGCCAAAAGGATGGCACACTCACACATTGTCACACACTGATAGATAAACACATGTTGAATCACACCGTGCAGTTCGCAAGTCACTGGCACCCAAAACCAAAAGTTCGCGCGAAGTTTGATTTTTGCTCCAAGGCACCAAGTTTTGTACCCAGGCGACTCTCAAGCTCACCTAGCTCCCTTCCTGGATCAAAAGCGAGACCCGCAGAGGATGCAGAGGATGATGGAGCCTTGAGGGCGTTTTTGGGACACCATGCGTGCAAGTTTTGCGTAACCGCCAACGTTCCACCAAACGCCAGCAGAACAAAAACTTAAAGGCACCACACGCACACAAACTCGAGGACACGTCTACGTCACGCGCCTATCAGCCCTTCCACATATAGGTTGGGTACTACAAGGGTAGGTATTGCGCACACAGACCACGGATATCATACAAACCACATCGAAAGACGTGACCGGTGTAAATGCACCAAATCGTGCAAGTCGCATAGGGCGAAGATCGACTCTTTGCTGCGGTAGGAGCTGTCGGAACAGGTCTCGCCATCACCTGCCCAGTGGGCTGCAGTCAAGAACCCACTCACAACACAAAAAAGTCTGCGTCCTACATTTAACGCGGTTTAACGCATTTTAACGCGCCAGAATTGTCCCAGAAC